ATAAATAAAATTATTTTTACATTAACTTTAGATACACACCACAAAAAAATCACAATTTTCACTATGTGATGAACAACTTAAATACAGTAGTCGACTCAAGCTACAATTTATAAATCGATGTTTTCCCTGAAAGTTTAGTAAAAACTAAGATTTTCCTATGCCTATTCAAAGTTTCGTTATCTACATTTCCTGAGAATCTGCATTAGTAAATATTGTACTACAGTATATGGAATATTCGTACATTTGGTGAAAAATATAAACTTGTATGGTAGAAAACAAAAAAATTATAGACTAGTAATTGAGCAAAAAGTTAACAATATATTTATAGCAAAATTGCAACACGTGAGGTACTACGATAAAGTTGATTTTTGATCGTAAACCAGAGTTTGGGAAAATAAAATTATCATTTTACGTATAATTTTAAGTTATTATTGAATGTTAATCGATAAATAACATATTCGTCTTAAATCAATGCTACTGTTAAAACTATTTTTATTGTTCAAATACAATACCGGTACATACAAAACATAAATTCACCACAACAAAAAACGTCCACCGTGCCAGTAAAATTAGATTGTTAAAAAGGTCTCCAAGTGAGCATAAAAATTAAACGCGTGAAACAGGATAATAAAAAAGGGACATCGACAATTTGTAAAAGGGGTTGTTAAGCTTCTTTGACGCGGGTACATTTTTAAAACCGCATTACACCGTGCAGGCCGCCCCCAAGCGGTTAATTTTTTACGTCCCTTCCTCAATCTGGGCTCGGTCGTCACGGCAGGCTCGGTGATATGCCATGTGGCTGCTCAGTGCTCAATATGCTAATACAAAATGTGACAAACCTCAGTTCTCCCTCGCTGGGATAAGCACTTAATTTTATTTTTGCATCGTTTCAAAATGTTCAGCCAATATTTTCGAAAACGTCTTTCACGACTGTGCAGCGGGTTATTGCTTTGTTAACTGAAGCTATATTAACGAATATTTTTGTATAAATATTTTCTTAGATTTTACTTCTACAGGGTGAGTTTTAATTGTCCCCCCCCCCCAACTTTTTTCTACATTTTTTCAAATATCAATCCCAGACCACTTCCAAACATTGTTGGGTAGTAAGTACTTCATTTTGACAAGGTGGTCATTTCCGGCCGCCATCTTGGATCCGCCATATTAGATGCAAAATTTTTTTTCAAATGTAAAGGTGGGGTTGTGACCCATTATTTCGAACTACATTTTTACCTTGATTCCAATGCCGCAAACCTTTTTTAAAAATCTTGATTCATTCTAAAGTTACGATGGCTTTTTAAAACTTTATTTTTAGCCCATTTTAACATTGTGCATTTACAAACTAAGACCATAATCCCAAAATAGTGCTAGATAATGATAAGTATACACTACCAGTAATTGTCCACCTATTTTCACTTGGTTATGACTGATGTATTTTTTTCGGCCGCCATCTTGGATCCGCCATTTTGAAATGTGATAAATTATTTTAAATATGAATGGGGTGTTGTGACCCATCATTTCGAACTACTTTTTAAAGCTGAACTTAATTCCATAATCCGTTTTTCATTTTCATTTTTTGATTTTGAAATATTGACATTTTTAACAAAAAAATTTCAATATTTCATAAATAAAACTTGATAAAAAAAATGGATTGCGGCATTGAGTTTAGCTTAAAAAAGTAGTTCAAAATGATGGGTCACAACACCCCCTTCATATTTAAAATTATTGATCACATTTCAAAATGGCGGATCCAAGATGGCGGCCGAAAAAAATACATCAGTCATAACCAAGTGAAAATAGGTGGACAATTACTAGTAGTGTATACTTATCATTATCTAGCACTATTTTGGGATTATGGTCTTAGTTTGTAAATACACAATGTTAAAATGGGCTAAAAATAAAGTTTTAAAAAGCCCTTGTAACTTTAGAATGAATCAAGATTTTTAAAAAAGGTTTGCGGCATTGTAATCAGGGTAAAAATGTAGTTCGAAATAATGGGTCACAACCCCACCTTTACATTTGAAAAAAAAATGTTGCATCCAATATGGCGGATCCAAGATGGCGACCGGAAATGACCACCTTGTCAAAATGAAGTACTTACTACCCAACAATGCTTGGAAGTGGTCTGGGATTGATATTTGAAAAAATGTAGAAAAAAGTTGGGGGGGGGGGACAATTAAAACTCACCCTGTATAAATGTGTTTTTCAACTGTCCCGTTTATGGAAAGAATTGGTAAATTTCAGTACCGGCAACTACCGTTGTGGAGAAATACAAATACCCTCGAGTACTTTTTAATTTGGTTATTCCAAAGTAAACTGTTAGAATATATTTTTAAATTATATTCACATAAATAATCCTGTTAAATTTGCTTACCTGATGTAAGTAATGGAATATTTTCTTTAATGTATCTTATAATTGACGTTCCTATATAGTTTTACGAATTGTATGGTGGAGTATTATTAACATATAAATGCGTTTTTAAGTAGGCTAATTTGGAGAAATAGTTGTTCATGATCTAAATAGTAACTGAAGCAATTTTATATGTAAGAAGATACTATTATGAATTTATTTATAATAAGCTTAATAAACAGTATTTTATGTCTACACATTTTATTTCCATTTATATTGCATACAAAGCTATTCATTCATCAATGTTATATTTTTCTTGTGAAATGATAGTGCCAATTTTAGAAATATAACAATACTAATTATAATATTTAAGCTAAACGTTTTTTGAATATATTATATAATGTTTAAAGTTTAGAATAAACTTAAAAAATTTATTTTATAAAAATATAATAAACTTGTTAGTAGCTATATTTTTATACTGTTAGACCCTTAAAAAAGTTATGGTAACGTTAATTAATCGTACAACTACCTTATATCAACGTATTTGCTACAATTGAGTTACAAGTTAAAAATCTACGTAGCCTATATATTTAGCCTATTAGAATAATTAAATGCCCCAACTTCATATATGATTTCAAATTGTAATTTAAACATTACTCCGACAAAATGTACAACAGCTCGCAAAACTTTTAATCGTTTTATAAACTCCTGAAACTGTAGATAAACACGTTGAGTATATTTATATTTTTAAATTGTGTTCACAACTTTTATTGCTCAATTTTATTCTAACTCGACATTTAAGTGATGATAAAATAAAATATTGTATCGAACAATATGACGGCCCCGTAAAGAGGTTAGGGTGCTATAAGGAAACCACTTGCCGCCCTTGTAATAAAAACACCCCTAATGCAGGGGTGGTCGCAAGCCACGGATGACATACAGACACATATCATGACTCGATGGATATTTAAATCACAGAATAAAAAAACTAAATATGATGTTTTTTTTCTCCGATTAAATATAAGTTTTGTAACACTTCATTATAAATTGTGTTTAAATGTTAAAGATGTACAGTACTACAAATACTATAGTAGGCCTACCAACACGTAAAATGCTGATCAAAATGTAATTTTATTTTTCTTCTGTAGGCCTATAGTAAGTTATGTCTTCTAGAAATATAAATGGATTTGAAATATCCATTTATTATTAACATTTTTCTTGACTTTTTCAAAGTTGTATCCATAGAATAAATATAACGCGTTTTGTTCAACTTTCTATGCTCGTATTAGAATACAGTAGCACAAAAAATATGATAGTTGAGTTATTTTATGCACTAAATAATAAGCTTATCGTCCTCGATATGACTATTTTAAACTATCCATTTAAAATTATTTTAACTGGATATTTGGAAAAGTAAAATATTATCTTGTAAGTTTTCTAGATTGTAACATTAGCAAGTGAAAATATTTTATTGGGAATCTGCTGTACATTCGATAGAAATCAAAAAGTGTATTTTAAATTTCAAGATGCTGTTAAAAATGTGTTACTTGCTATATAAGTTGTAACTCACCAAAAACCACAACCTGTTTAGTTGTAGGTTGTTGTAGCTTAATATTTGAACACATACAAATCTGGATATTATGTACTGCATTTCGTTTTAAACTTAAATTATAGACTTCATTATTTTAAATACACTTTACTACAATTTTTATTTATTGGTGTTGCTAATGTTTACAAATTGACTTATATGCACGCCTATAGTATGTTAGTGTCTTTTAGGATATGACAATGTAATTTTAGAACAGATTATTATGATGACAATTAAATTAAATACCAACTTGAAATACGGAAATAATTCTCGCTTCCTCTGTAACACTGTTCACTCTAAATATTTACAAAAATATCGTCTAGCACTATTGATGAATATAAATCAAAGTTATTTCCCATCAGCGTATAATTTGTGATTTACTTTATCTGGTCAATTTCGTTATCAGATACAATGGACTATTTCGTCATTCAATGTGGAAACTATTTAGATTGGTCAAGTTAAGAGAATTTTCAGAACTTTCATTTTTAAATTTTGTTCCATACATTGGAGTTGTTAATGTAAAATTTATAAAATTAGGGATTTTTCACCGTAAATATGCAAACATTTATAGATATTGTACATTATAATATATTTACTTTGGTACCAAATTAGTTTCACATGTAATATCTTTGAATTTTGATACGCTAATGAAAATACGCAAAATATTTTCCAACCAAAAATTTAAACTGGCGTAAGCTATTTCAATCCAATTTGTTAATCTGGGTTTGTCTAATAAGGTTTACCTACAAAAAAATAGATAAGGAAAAAATCATTTAGAAAGTTTTACGTAGTTTTGGTATTATACTGGTACTGTACATTCTGATTGTACAGTAATTCATAGTAAATACTTTAGGGTTGATTAGTATGTATATTTTACAAAAAACAAAATTATAAAAAGGGAAAACCACAATACGAACCGTGTTAATCACTCGCAGACTTTGTAGCGGCAACTTCAAGGATGATAAAATTTAACCTGTTGACTTATTTGTGTCGGCCACGGGGGCGGTGCCCCGACCTAACCTCAACCTCTGACTCGACCCTTACCCTCACCCACCCCTGACTTACCTTCACAGGTGAACTGTCCGTAGTGTTTCCCACTACTCTTGTCTCCGCAGACGACACACTCTATGTTTTGGTTCTTGTCCACCCCCTGGGAAGACCCGCCACTCTGGGTAGAGTTAGTGCCAGGGGTCGTAGACACTTGGAGTTCTCTCAGACCGGACCCCGGGACCAGGGAGTCGTCCGGGACTGCGGGGGTGACCACGTGATGTCCAAGGACGGGAGGAGGCTCCCGCCACGGGGGTGCCACCAGGGTCATGCTCCGGGGGAAGCCGAGGTCCAGAGACTCGGGGGTTGGCCCGGGACAGAGGACCCCCGGCCTGCAGACCGTGAGGGCGTTGTGAGGAAGAATAATGGTGGCGGAGGAAGGGAGGTGCGCCTCCCGAGGAAACAACGAAACTGCCTAGAGTCCTAGGTCGAAAATCATCCCTTAAGTCACACTACCAATACACTCACACATACAAATCCATAAGGTAAACCCGATCACAGATAACAAGTACGTAATAGACAGTAACCTCCGACCTAACCTGACCGGTCGGGTCGGCAGTCCGCGATCGACTGAACTGGGGTCTCGATCTCTGACCCCCCCTCCGCCCCGTCGCGTAGCAACGACTTGGCCTGCGACTCCCATTGGCCCGGACCCCGCCACCTCGGTTGCCGCCGAAACCGCGGAGTTTTATGTTCGCGCTAATTGTTCATTAGGACGTCTCGACCTCCTAAGCGGTTTGAAGGGTTTTTACATAACCTCTAATGGGATCATGCCACGGGGGCTTCGGGGCATTGTGTGCTGAATGTGAATTATGTCCAAGTTAAGTTTTGGTCACTCGTAGTTTAGTGTTGAGATTACAAGTGTACAACTGTAATCTTGCGAGATCTGACTAATAGAGATAGCATAGTGTCATTTGTACATTTAACCATCCCAAGTATTTATTAGAATTTTATACCAGTACTGAAAATATATAAATATTTATTTATCTACTAAACAATTTAATTAATTTTTCAACTCTTGTATTTGCATGTAGTAGTTTGTAAAATGCTGTATGGTTTAATTTGCACTTCGAGGGAAAAACTAAGAACATATTTTGTAAAACTATTAATAGTTGTATATAATTACAGAATATATTCTAAATTTTACGAAATTAAAGTTGTACTAACGGTTGTTCTAAATACATAATTGTTACTTCATCAACAACGAAACGTGTTATCAAAATGAAGTAACACACTTTTATACGACTTCGAAAATTTCATTACACGTATACCCTACTTACTAAAATTACGTTCAATATGTTTCCCGCAATAATGCTAAACATAGTTTGTAACCTATTCAAGTGTATTGTATTCTTGTAATGTATTGTATTGTGTGATTCGTGATGCCAATCAATAACATAGGATCTTGCTCCTAATTACATGTACTAATTGATGCCGACTTTTAAATTTGAATGCACTATAATCACTCGACTATAGTTACCAGTCAATTTTTAACAATCCATAAACAATCAAAAGACATTAACAATTTTCGTAATATTTCTAGTTGTGGTGATTTTTAGTTGTTGACTAGATCAAAATCTAGCTCAATAAATCAAATTATTTATTTATAATAAATAAATAAATAAATATAATCAATAAACATATTTTCTTCTGAGTAGTTCACTTGGTTTTAAATATATTAATATTTGCTCATAAAATTAATTTGCTAAAACAGAGTAAAAGGTTTCATATTTATTTAAGTGTTTTTTTTCTAGTCCCTCTCAATGTTGTAGCGCAGTTTCATTTTTATTGATAATTGGTAGTCTAATTATGTTTACATTACTCATAACTCCCGAGGTCCGGAATGTGATCTTGCCAGAAGAATTAAATACGCTAGTCTTAAAATTAATATTAATTTCAAATTTGTACAAGAGCTCGTCCCGCGCACAGGTCTTGTACGGCCTGCGGGTATATTTTTTCGTATTTTGTATGTATATATTCTAAACAAACAATTTTTTGAAATAAAACAGATTTTGATTTGATTTGATTAAACATTGTGAGAGACGCCGCTGTCCTGCTTATGATCTAATTTTCTTATGTTATAAGTTCGTTCGGATAAGACAACAAACTTTAAAACTTGTGTTTTACAAATCAATAATGTAAAATGTCCGCAATATTTAATTTAAACATATTTGAATAAAACTTACATAAATCGACATTTCAAAACAATGTCTTCAAATAATGCGTATAAAAGCTACAGTGAAAAGCTACTGAAACCCCTTTAATACCCAAAAAAGAAATATTCATCTATACGTGTTTTAAAGTACCTGTGTAACGTTTTATGGCAGCCTCCAAGTATAATTACACGATACAGGACATTAAAAGGCTATAAACAGCTGAACAGAGGGTTTACTGTCTAGAAATAAAAGATAGCCGACCACAGAAGACAAAATCTATAAAACATGGAGAAACTGGGAGAAACTGCCAACAGAATCCGGTTTCCAACATGGATCATCAATTTTCTTTAACACTTTGGATTCCCCTTCGCTTTAAATGTTGAATCAATGAAAAAATACATGGCATTGCATGTGTTTGTTTGCTCAACTTACGTTTTAATTAAAAGTTATACCGGGCTTACTTTCATATTTTAATTGATTGAGATGCTGTAAAAACTAGTTCGAGTATAAACATATTCGTATTTTACAATCGCATTTTATTTTTAGGGCAAAGTCCAACACCTTCATCATTTAACTTTATAGCGTAAATATAATGTTAGAAATCACTAATGACTTAATAGTCATTGTCATCAATCATTGTCTAATTGATAGCACAAAGACATATTAAATTATCTCTATTGTCACATTGGGATACGGGATACGGTTCACATCCAGAGAATTCCAAAAGGCTTTTATCGGCTTATTTGAAGAATCTTTAGGCTGTAGGCCTGCATAATGTGTCTAGAAACAAATAAAAACTCAAAGTAAAAACTAAACAAATAAATAAGGTGTGTGTAAATAAGGTGTCAAAGTAAAAACTGTATCTGTACTTGAGAACTCCCTAAAGCCATTCAATAAGTTGTATTATTTTTTATGTTACATTCTCATCAACCTTAGACTAGTTATTTAAGTTTGAATGCAAGTGCAATACTTTCATCATCCCTAAAAAGCTATTCCAATATGTGCTAAAATTAGCAGTTTAGTCCAGTTTGACAATTTGTCTACCTTTTGCAAAATGTAGAGAAGTTTGCAGAAACAATTGCTTTAAATACGCAGTTGCAAAGCATACGATTGTTCAAACTGCAACCAATCTTGCTTTTACAACAAAACAGTATAACAATCAAAAATATCGATGAATTATCAAGGTGACCCTTGTAACAGAGACCAACGGTCGTGAGATAACCTCGAACATAAAGAACAACACAATCAAGAACAAGAAATGAAGCGGCCTCATTATGTGTAGATAATGTGAATAATTAATGAATGTAAGCATGTTTATAGCTTCTTTGTCACAAATGTGAATGTTTACGTAATAATGGGTTGTTCAACTGTTGTTTTGAGACGAAAAGGACTTTGAAGGGAAATGTGTTTAATTTTATGTCAACCGTCTTGTATTTTGAACATTTCCATTTCCCGTAATTTAGTATTTTTTCTTTATAGTTCCTAAACTACCTTGGTATATTTTACTTTTAATGGTTGGATTAGTAGATTAGTAATTTAAATACTAACGCTTGTTCGCGTATTCTTTCCTAAAAATAGAGTTCATTTATGTTTGGTATTCGGAAGAAATAAGATGTTTGTTTTTATTGTTCAAATGTAAATATTGTAAATACTCCCTAAAACTAAAAATATTAGTTCTTCTAGCTACCAAAGAAATACTTTAAACGACGTTTTCAATATTCACATGATTTCTTTAGATGTCTGTGAATGATTTTGTTTTAACTTTTCTGATTTCGTTTGGACAGCTTATTGAAAAATATTATCTTTAATATTCGTGTAGAATGGGTGTAATTTATCAATAATGTACATATGTATTATGTATATGCCTACGCTCCTTAGGTAATAGGTAGACCCTTCAAAAGATTTGATCAGTTTCATAGATGATGTTTCAAATTGTGTAATGCTTTAAGTAAAGCGAGGGATGTTTTGGGACCTGGTATAATTTGATCAAGATTACTTAGATCCAAACCAATTTTGCTAAAAAATCAATCCTTTGGATAAAAAGTATCGCACAAAACTATAAATTTTTATACAATTAAAATAAATGAAAACTGTCAATCTTTAACATTATTTTAGCCCAGCAAACATTTGCGCATTCAAAACAAGTCCAATTGCTTCCATCCGGACGGTTACATTTGTAGACGATTTATTTTACTACAACTTCTTTCCAATTATTTTTATCTACTAAAACATGACTGCATAAAAATTTAATTCTGATTCGTTACAGTCCTACTCGAATAGGTATTTGATACTATTTTTTAAACAAATTAATCCATTGGATTACTTAAATAAAATAAAAATAAACTGTCCTCTGTTTATCATCTATAAAAAACCTGAATCATCCAATACAACATTTCTGCATCAAAAATAAATCTGTTCGCTTAATAGTTTCGATGCTATATTGGTTGACAATAAACAAGTGATATATAGAGCGATTGTTGTCTATTGGGCGTTCAAGAGTCTATAATGTCTACTTATGTCTATAGTGAGAGGTGTCAATAGGCTATCTATCTACATACTGTCCACCCCGCGACCGCCGCCAGCTGCTATTTATACATAGAACAACGCACTTTGACTACCTTGTACTAGCACTGTCTCTACTTGTTTTGCGGTAGGAAAATTATTTGCTAACTTACTTTTTTAGTTTCCATACAATAGTGAAAAAAATAGTTTTCCAATAATAATATATACCGGACCAAATTGATTAATTCAACGATTAATTAGTAGACGCATAGTTCCATGGGTAAATCGCTGCCTTTTTGTTATTTTGAAAAAATGTAGTGTTTTTAAATTTTACAGTTTACATTTCACGTCACGTAACAAATCGCCCAATCCTTAAAACATCTGAAGTGTAATTTAAGTGTTAGTGAAAAAGGTTTTGTCACTCTGTAAAAATTATGCCTTTCAATTCTACTAATATGCCAAGAATTTCAGCATACGTAAACTAAAATGGTTAATAGAAATTTTTTAAGTCAATATTACCAAACACCCATTAATGTTTTCTTAATTTAGCACTATTTCAATTTTTATTGTATCACGTTTATGAGAGTTAGAAAATGTAATAAATATAACTTTGGCGGTCAGAATATTAAATTGATAAATTAATCAATGAATAAGTTAGTTATGGTAAATGTGAAACTCCAAAAAGTTTATGTATATTGCTTATTAAAATTATAACAAATTCTTCTTTCTAGCGTTCTAATTATTAGACGTTTATATCTAACACTCCTAAATTCAATTTAAAATTCAACTATTTCAAAATGATATATATAAATATATATTATTGATTGTTTTATGAAACTTATATTAAAGACTTTTATGGGGGTACATGACAATTTGTATTAATGTTTAAAAACATACAAATATTATTTATTCTAGATAAAA